AAAAAAAAAAAAAAAAAAAAAAAAAAAAAAAAGCTAAACTATTATCACTGTTTCTGAAAATGTTAGGCTCTATTGTTATAAATTGCTAATATTTTACAGATTTTTTTCAAGATCAACTTTCAACCCTCAAAGACAACAATAAAATTTAGACTACAGACGATAAAAAGCGTTAAGAATTACTTATCTTAAAAAGCTTATAATAAAGCATAATTTTTACCACATAAGTGCCGATATCCATCGCATAATAACTATGTCAAGAACACAGAAAAAATCAATCAACAGTTGTGCTTTTTCGCCCAATACACTCAAAATAATACCAAAACCGGTACAGAAAACAATTAAGCCTGAAATTATTGACAAACTTTGAACATCGGCTTGATCAGTTGTCTATCTTAGTAGAATCTATAAACATTGATACAAAAATAAATAGAATAAATAAGCGATTGAGAATATAAAAAATTTCAACCTAAGACATTTACTTCATTGACGTATTCAAGACGAGGTTTCAACGTAAAATTAGTGTCATTTACATTCTTTGAGAAACGTGGTTTTTCATCGTAAGTTGTCTGCACCTGCTGAAAGGTAGCTTGTATGATATTTTCTGGAAACATATTTCTGAAACACGCAAATTTATTATCATTACTTTTTTTTTTTGTTTTACAAAATTTTCTGTATTATGTTTAACATTAAACACGTTTATTACCTTTTACCTTTTTAACAGAAAAAAAGTTCATGTCAGTCAACAGATAAAATAAAACTTTTTATCAAGCGTAAAACTTTAGCATAAGTAAAAAGATTATTGGGTAAATTAAGGTTATTTTACTCAATCACTATATGTTTATATCTTGAACTTCGATAAAAACTCTAATTGTTCAGAAAAAAAATTTATAAAAAAACTATTGGAGATGTCTAGACGATTCTTAGACAGGTGTAAAACGGTATAAATTTTGTAGCTTTTCGTTATTGTTATATATACTTTACAAAAGAATAAATATTTGATGCAAAAAAAATTTGGCTATCAGAAACTTTGCTAAGTAGTCTGTTTAAAGACCAAGAGTGACTGTTAGACAGCTCATATGACTGGTACTTCTATAAAGTTTAATTTCTGATTTAATAATTAACTGCTTGTAAATGAGTACAAAATAAGAAAGGTATATAGAATATTTGGCTGGATACAGCAGCAAGATACCTAATTTGATCAAGTATGTTATCCAATGTTGAGAGAGCGGTATCTTCCAGTGTACCTTCACCTAGACGACTTTTCACGTCCGGTCCGCCCGGATGAATTGATGAAACGAGAATTACACCGGTCTAAAAATAGTCGCTAATGTTTGTGTAAACAGTGATCAAAAACAGATATGTTTTGAGTATATTCTAAAGCAGTAGTTCCTATTTTTTGTAAATATTTTTAGCAGCATTACCTCAGCAACAATGGCTTTCAGCTAATTAACCTTATGTTTGTACATATTTTTTGGTAAATTTGTTCACTTTTTCTAGTTGCCTATCTCCAAAAAAAAGATGTGGTTTCTTTCGTAAAACTTCTTTATACACACAAATTTTAGGTCACTTTTTAATTGCTTAAACCAGTTACAATTATTTGCTTACAAAACTCGCAAATCATCAAGAAGTATCGCTTATACGTTATAATTTTTCAGATCAAATTCGTTGGCAGTCTTTTGATTAATGACACACAACATAAAATAATATTGAATTTTAAACTTACAAATGTTGACATAAATGTTGTGGTCATATAGTAAATAATGGTTAAAAATACAATTCTCCGTGAATCGGCTGCACGAAGATTTGCCAATGCTGTAAAACAAAAATCAAAACTTCATTTAGCGATTGATAACGTCTTTGAGAAATAACTCTAAAAAAACTGTCAGGCTGTTGACTTATTAGAAAATTTTATAAAAAAAATATTGACTGTAATAGCTTTGAAATTCTATCAGAAAGAGAAATACTTTTCACTCTGAACTTTTAGGCGATAAACAGAGCGTTTGACAGTATAATGTTTCTTTTTAATAACTTTTAGCAAACAGGGAAGAACTTAACCTGATATAACTGATGATATTATCATTGGTATAATAATCATTTCAATAATCTGCATAAAAATTTCACCAGGAAAACCGATAAGACTAATAGTGTCGTTGCTGAAACGGTATCGGTGATTACGTTTTATTATGTAGAAACTTTTTCACTACAAAAAAGAATTCTTTTTTTTGCACCTATTATTCATATTTGGAATCACTCATATCATCGAGCTACATATCTAACCGTTCAACAGTGTAGAAAAAAAACTTATCGCATGTATAGATATATATATATATATATATATATATATATATATATACATGCGATAAATTTTAATACTTATTTAGTTTCTAATCTTCAGCTTTCGTTTTTCCACCTTTAGACTGTAATTCAGCTAGAATAAGCAGCACTGATACAGTTGCTGCAGTTTTTTTTAATGAAAACTTTCTGTCAGTTTCTTATTTAAAAACCAACAACTACCACACAATTAGATTATTATATAGAATACTGTAGTATAAGTACAATTTCATCATAGGCTCAGTTATGGTTTTTATTCAAACTGTTTGCGCAGTTTCAAAAAGTGAAAAACTGTTAAACAGTTGACAAAGTATTTGAAATTATACCAATATAGTGTCTAATTTCTATGCATTTTAGTGTTTTTTATGCTTCCTGCTGTATTTATCAAAAACTGTTATAAGTGTTTGATGCTTAGCCTAATAAACAAAGATATGAATTTTGTTTTCGATGAAAAATTATGCTATCTGAAGAAATTAATAAAGAGATACCTGGGATTGAATGGTCTGATTACAAATCCGAGGACAACACCAATTACAACAGATTCAATGGTTAGCACCAACAAAAGGTCACTTTTTGCTTTCATCTCAACAAACCTGAGTATCGGTGTAATAATTTGATCGAAAAAATATTTTTGTTTTTTTTTATAAACATAAAACAAAGTTGTAATGTTAAACCTGAAAATTTGACCACACTGAAACAGTAGACGTTAATTTGCTGCAATATAATTTGTTCCAACTAACAAAGCAATAGGTTATCAGTCGCCAAAAATATTGCCAAATTATAATAATCAATTTTTTTTTTTTTAACTTTAGCAAATGACATTGATTTGTAAATGAAATGACAAGAAAACTTTATTAAAAAAAATTTTTTTTCGCAGCATCAGCAACAGGAGCACCAATAATAAACAGTTTCAAAGAAACTTGATAAATCTAAAATTATCTATTTTTTATTGAAGACAAACTATAAAACAGCAAAGAATAAATAAAATAAGAGAAAAAAGAAGTATAACAAAAGTAACATTAAAAAATTAAAATTTAAAGAAACCTTTTTTTTTGTTTATTACCACATTTCTGGTTTGAAAAAGACTTTTTTTTTTAAATTTATTAGTCTTTCTAATAAAGATTTATCAAATTTTAACAATCAAAAGAATATTACTAACAAGAATATAAGTTAGCTGCAAGATAAGACTGTCATTCAATGTCTCTCAAACTGTGTCAGCAACAGTTAATTATAAAAATACTTATCAGTTAAAAAAAAAATTATAAAAATACTCTTGACAATTTTGATTATTGTTCTAATTGACAATTGTTAAAGAATTTTTTTTTAGCATAATTAAAAAAAGCAGCTAAAGAATTTGGTTTTTAACATTGAAACCCTAAACACACTAAGCAGTTGCCTGTAGTAATTTCATTGTGCAGTGGTCATAAAACAAAAAGAGTACCGACTAATACATGGTTTTTTCTGATAACTTAATGACAACGTAGTTAATCGAAATGAATTACTTATTTGTTTAAAAAAAATTGTATAAATAAATGCACATATAACCTGATAAAAACAAAAATAACGACAAGACAAAAGTAAAGAAGAAGAAGTAAAATAAAAAGAAGCTACTGACTGCAAAATTACAGCGATGGCTGATCAAAGTTTTAATAGTGAAAAACGTCGCAATTGGGGAAAGAGTAGAAAAAAAAACGAAAAATTGAAAAGCAAAAGAAGATAAAGTAAAAAACAAAACGAAAAAAAATAAATAAAAGAGAAATGTTTTCAAATTAGTCTTTGGAAACAAATTGAATGTATAAAAAAAATATTGTTT